CTGTTCAGCTCTGATGATTCAGTAAGGACATCTCCTGGTTTCATCTTCATGTTTCCCTCTCACCACATATCCAAACCATCATGACCAGCAGCTTTACAGCTGTGGCTCCAGCAAACATCAGCTGATGCTAGAAATTAATATTAAATCAATTCTAACAGCTGATCAAACGTGCTGCTGTTGTTTAGCGACATCCGCTGGTTTCGTCTTTCTGGAGCAAAGTGATAAACAAACAAGAGAGACGATCAGCTGATCATTGATCAGTTTCATGATTGAAAGAGAAACAGGAGATGGAGGGGAGAGGATGAGAGAAGAAGAGGCAGCTGTGCAGCAAAGACAGAATAACTCCAGCTTCGTGTCTTTTTCATTGTAGCTGAAGTTCGGGACAAACTGTTTCTTCTCAGCTCAACACGAAACGCGTAATATTTTCTCTGAATGCGGGACGATTCTGTCTTTTTACCGGATGGTTGGAAACTCTACTAACTAACCTTATGAACAAAATAAAGTTCACTATCAGTAACATCATAGCACCACCCAGCTGTACAGAAACTCCGTCATGCTAGCTAGCACGCAGTACGAGTTATTGTAACTGACTGTAAAAAGTCAGCACAATGAAAATAAACTCCACCTAAACTTGGTTTATATCTGACCAGACAGACTGCAGCTCATAACTTCTTACCTGAAGTTCAGTTCACCTGATACTTGGACCGGTGTTGAGCCAAAAACTGATTTCCAAAGTTTCTGTGTATTTTTTATCTGTAATATCTTTACGTATGTTCGTAAATAGACTTCGGTGAACAGGGTTTACAAAGGGGTTATATAGAGAATTAAAAAATTATCCGTTTTTCAAGTATCTTTAAAACTCTGTGTTATTGTACTGACATAACCAACTGGTCCTTTATCGCCACTTAAAATATTTTTACAGAACTATTGTAATATTTGCTCGCAGTTGTGCTGTCCTGTTGGTCAGCTTACTCTGACTAAAGACATTTTTGATGTTAATGAGATTTTTTAACTGCATAAATAAAGGTTATATTAAAGTCGCAGCCAAAAACTGACGGCGGCTTCTAGCGTGTTACACGAATGTTGTTTGTAGCTCAGTGTGACTTTATGTCATCCATGAGGGAAGCATTTGACATGTTTCACATATTATAGCCCAACAAGTTACTTGTAGCAGTTTAAATACGAGCAATCAGTTTTTGGCACAACACCGCCGGCCGCCTTGGGTCTCTGCTCCTCCTGCCTCCCCTTCCCTCATCCACCTGTTGCCTCTGTGGAAGCTCCACCATAACCACCACCAAACACCAAACAGTTATTTTTACACATCTGCCAGCATCTGGCCAATCCACCACCTCTCATTGTTCATGCCGTTACAAAAAAACAAAATAACAAACATCATCGACCCACAAAAACAAGAAATCATCGGCCAGTCCAGCTATGGTCGTGCCATCAGTTAACCCTTCGTGTGCCAGCTGTGGAGCGCGTGCCCAGGGTTGCCGACCCCTGACCTACACAGTCACAGCGCTAGCTAGCATGAGCAAATCTGCCCCCTGTTGGCTCTGAAAATCGAGATGCTTCAAAAGTGAGTCGAGGAACACACGAAGCCATGGTGCAATTCACCACATGCACAAATAAAGAAATCCAACCTCTGGCCCTGAATAAATGTGAGTGACAGGAACTTTAGCCTGTGCTAAACCTGGCTGAGACCCAGGAGACAGGGCGGGTGTGTCAGCACGAGGACGACATGAGCCCATCCAGACTGAGGAGAGTTTAACTTGAAGCTTGTTGTCGTGCTGTATTCCCACTCGTCTTGTTTTACAGGTGTCTGTATTTAGAGCCGTGTGCCGCTAGCAGCTCTGATATTAACGACGCCGCTTCCTCTCCTCGCAATCAGCCGGCGTCTCCTCCGCGACGGCGTCACACGATCGCAGTGAAACGCTGCGCCTCAGATTCAGAGAGCAGTGATAATATATCGAGCACTAATGAATTGGGAGCAGCAGACATATATTTGCAGCGTTCAGCGCTGGGGGGGGAAGAGCAGGGGTAAACACGATGGCTCTTCTTCTCTAATGTGTGTGCACAAGTCAACAGCTTGAGCAATTAAACAGATTACCATCTTCAAGTGTGCTCGCGAGCTATTTACACGCACGCGGCCATGAGTGTGTGTGTGTGTTTACAAAGCACATAAAGCTGTTGACGCCTGCAGACACGATTGGATTGTGTATTCAGTTGCTTCGGGACTTCTGAGATTTAATTCCTGTTGGCTTGTGTGGGTTTGCACACTCACATCGTGCACTGATGTTGTAGACAGTCGGCTAAACATCGCCTGTTACGCTGCTGAAGAAATCGGTGTAAACTCAAACGCCACCACAAGGGAACAGCGAAGGGAACAAAGGAGCCCGAATGAAGCAAACAAGGATACGAAATCCAGCACAATCAAAACTAAGATCAGTGAACTCAAAGAGGAAACAAAGACGCAGCTGCAAGATTCAGATCTCAGCAGCAGATCACCTCCTCTGCTCTGTGACGACTGAATATGTTCGCCCTGCACACGTCCAATCAGCACGGCCTGTTAGCTGATCTCTCAGCGCCGCTGCACTCCATAACAGACGCCTGGTGTTAGCGGGATAAATTCACGGCGTCTCGGTTCACATTCTCCACTCCACACTGCAGCGGGAGGGCGGCGTTCCCCTCCCTCCCGAGGCGATGGATCTGCTCGTCAGCCCGGCGCTGTGAGAGCGTAAATCACGCCTGCGGGCCGTGAGCACAAATGTGCTCTCGGTCAACTTAATCCTTAAATAAACACTTAAGAAGCGCGAGCTCGGCCTCGCCGCGCACACATTAAATAGCTGACTGATCGTCGAGTCGATACGCCGAGGCTCTCGCAGCGGACCGGGTCAAACATGGAGGACAGATGGTGGAGGCGAATGCTAATGAGCAGCGGAGGTGCAGCGTCTGAGGGCACGAGGAGGATTTCATGATAATGACGAATAAATGTTTGACAGTTCTCACACTCGAGCTGCTCACGCAGGCCCGACTGCTGCCGCTGTGCCTCTGAGCCATGCATGCTTTGCGGCGTGCTTCATGTGCACTGGTGCATGCCACAAAGCTGATGCACAGGAAAACACGCCGCTAAAAACATGGCTGACTGAAACACACCTGAACACGCTCGGACGCTTCGTTGCAGAGCTGAGACGATCAAAAACATGGTTTCCATAGTTCAACAGCAGCACATCATCACGTGTCCGAAACACTTCTGTGTACTGAGCGTGGACGCCGCGACCAATCAACACTTGGCTGCGTCTCGCTGCTACATTGGTCATGAAACAGGAGACATGGCCCTCGCTCCGCCTCCTCCTACACAATCCTCAGAGAATAATAATTAATAACAGTGATAATCGTCCCTGAAAGCGTCCTAACCCCTGAGACTGAGGTTCACCCACAAATCTACAACCTGAGCAGGTTCCTGTCAGACTCACAGGAAGTGAAGGCGCTGCTTTAGATTCCAGTCAGGGAAGCAGAGCCACCGATCCTCCCTCAGAGGCTGAAAAACTCATATTTCTCAAGCAGCAGCTGGCGTCACCTTCTCCCCCAAACTGAATCACAGGAGGAGAAACATGCCCTCCATCTGTGTCCCTGGCTTTTATCTGCTCTCCCAGCTCTTCCTCTTCCTGCGCGATCTCTCGGGTCGCAGGAATATTTGCAGTCGCTCGGTCCCAAACTCACAGTTTGACTGAGTGACCCGAGCCTTCGCCGCCTCCAGCAGCAGAGCCTCGCTGCCGTGTCTGAATCCATCCAATCATCAGGCGGACGGAGCCGGGGCGAGACAGGAAGTGTCAACAGGTGCAAACGCTCGGCTGTTCAATTTGTAAAAGTTTGTGCGAGTCCACAGACGGCGCCTGGAAATAAACAGACCTTTAACATCGTCTGAAAAACGCTTCTTTGGACGAACGCAAACTGCCCGCGGCGCTTTGACGGCGCCTTCATTAAGATTCACCTGATGGATCTGAGCACGCACGCGTCCCTGAAGGGTCAGCTGGTATTTCATCTGAACCTTCAGGGCCTGCACACGTTAAACTGGAGCTATGACCTCATTTACATCCTGGCGTCGGTGATGTGATGATGTTCTGTGTGCACCAGCTCGCTGTGTTTCCACCTGCTGCAGGTACAGGAGGGGTAACCAATCCAAGCTCTCGGTTCAAGCTCGGCGGTGAGGCAGGTGATCTCACAGCGTACCAAGTAATGAGCACAGTTTCAACAATGGGCCTCTCTCCATGCTGTGTGAGCCGCAGACGCCTGGGAACATGACACTAACACCTGCACCTGGACAGACGCTGCAGACATGGGTTTGCTACGTTCTGTCTCACAGCCATCACAGCCCAGAGTGAGACACGCTTGTGCTGTGTTAAACATTTGCACCTGCATCTCTTCAGTTTCATTTATTAGGACCTGCAGTAGCTCCGGCCACGTAGCTGCTGTTCTTGTTCTTGGTAAAAAGAAGGCTTCATGCGCTCTGAGCAAACCCGACTGTTCATACTGAACCTGATATTTTAATATCAAAGATCCCACGAGAATCCTCCACAAACACGTAGAGTTTCTCTGCGACTCACAGCGAGGTCGAGACTCCATCAGGCGAAGCACATGGCGACAGCGGAGAGAAAGAAGGTAAACTTTAACACTGAGTCTTCCTCTGTTCTCCACACAGAGGTGGGGTTTCTCTGCAGCACGACGCTGAGCGGCTTCCTCAGTCTGGGTCTGTGCAGCTAACTCAGCTAGCTCGGCTAGCTCAGCTAACTCGGCTAGCTCAGCTAACTCGGCTAGCTCTGCTAACTCGGCTAGCTCTGCTAACTCAGCTAGCTCTGCTAACTCAGCTAGCTCAGCTAGCTCGGCTCACTCAGCTAGCTCGGCTCACTCAGCTAGCTCAGCTAACTCAGCTAGCTCTGCTAACTCAGCTAGCTCAGCTAGCTCGGCTAGCTCTGCTGGAACTTCTTATTAAACCTGTTGTCTGCTTATTTGAAGCCTGCGGTGCTGACAGCTCCACTGTGCTGTGCTGCTATGCATCTTTTATGAGCCTTACAGGTGCTGTGGGTGTTTTATTATTTCATATGCTGCACTGAGGAGGAGAGCACAGGGTCCAGTGCTGCTACGCAGAGAGAGCTGCAGTTCAAGTGAGGTTAGCGACTGAAGGTGACTTAGAGGAAGCACGGGGAAAGGTTTCATCTCATTGGTCAGCAGGTTGCTGATTGACCTGTCGGGCTGGAGCTCTGACAAAACGTCCTACTGTAGCACATTTATAGGTAGCACGGATGTCAGGTCAGCGAGGCTGAAATGAATCCTTATTGAAACTATAAACATTTTCTTTTGACCGACTTGATTCTGAAAATAAAATTAAACAAATAAATAATTGATCAGCAACATTAACGCCTCAAAAATTCAAACTCAGCCCTTCTCATGTATATGAAACACTTTGACCTACACACAGTGAAGCCAGCGGCGGCACATTTCCTCGTCTTTGCTTTACTTTCGTTTGTCCCGTTATCTCCGTCTCTTTTCTGTTAAATATGTTTCCATTTCTTTTTCAGGTTTGTTTGCTGCACTTCATAACAACCCTGCCCCCTACTGTAGTGGATGTGCAATTACACTTTATTCTACTCTGGCATAAAAAGCATCTTCCCGGGGTCACACGTGCCCCCCCCGGCATCGCACCGCCCCACTGACTCCTCACGTCATGCGTACACTCTCTCTGTACTCTGACATGTTTTGGGAGGTTTCTTGGTTTGAAGCAGTGACACAAACCGCTCTGTGGAAAAATGTGGCGTAAAAACTGTGATTTGGCTGTTCTGACACGTCTCAGTTATTCACGCTTGAACCAGTGTGACCAGCATCAGAAGAAATAACCAGTCTCTGATGTCCCTGCTCACGTCTGTGAAGAACAAGTGAAACGTCTTATTAAATCTCGTTCAGCCCTCGTCGTGCATTCAGTTTGTGATTGATGTCAAGGACAGAAGAGCGACGGCGAGTTTACCAGATGAACCCGGTACAGGATGCTGATCCCCAGAGTCATGAAGGGTTTGGAGAAATCGATCACCTTCTCTCTCTCCGAAGTGATGGTGAAGCCGGCCACCGCCAGGTCCGCTTTCTGCTCCGAGACACAAACAGACAGAGCGGATTAGCAACACGCACAAACATCACTGTAGGCACGACCTCTGACACCGACAGGGAGGGACGGACGCCGGCGTGCTCTCAATAGTGAGACGCAGAGAGGAAGAAGAGGACCAAGGATTAAACGAGCAAATGAGACAGAGAATTAGATGGTGGAGGAGACGGAGGGAGGAGGTGAAGCGCTTTCAGATCGACCGGTGGAGCGTGAGAAAAACAAGACGAGCTGGAAACAAGTGAGAAGGAAAGAAATGAAATCAACATCAAAGAGAGGAGGAGGAGGAGTTCAGCGCCGGTCTGAGAGGACATCAGATACGACCCCAGCAGAGGTCAGGAGGATGGAGGGTGTGACAGAGCAGACACGATGGATGATGTCAGGTGTTGGTGAACAGAAACGAGGACGAGTTGAGGCTGCGGGAGCTCTCCTCTGTTATTCTGCTCTAATGGCTCCTCGTTTATTCACTAATGAGCTCAACGACTGAATCCTATTCATGTTCAACAGTTTTGCATTAACCAGAAACACTGTGGGGGAATAATGTTTGTCTCTAATGATAGTCTGTGTGATCGGTTTCATCATCACACAGTCCCTCCTCACAGCTCATCTCCTGCTGTTAGACGCATCATTCGGTCTTCCAGACTGTGCTCTGCGTACTTCGGCTCATCATAATTACTGTTTTCGCCTCAGTTTTTAAATCGCCCTCTGAGTAACCACAGTTCATTCCTGCAGCACTGCTCTGATCTCTGCAGCCCATCATTTCTGTGGTGGCTCTGCAGGTCAGGCTCACTGATTTCAGTTTCAGCGTGAACAATAGTTTAAGAGCTTTAAAGCTTCGACCTGAACCTACGTAATACCAGCTTTGAACACTAGGTGGTGCAGT